TTCTTCTTCTTCTTCTTCTTCTTCTTCTTCTTCTTCTTCTTCTTCTTCTTCTCCTTCTCCTTCTCCTTCTCCTTCTCCTTCTCCTTCTCCTTCTCCTCCTTCTTCTTCTTCTTCTTTTCTTCTTCTTCTTTTTCTTTTCAGACAGGATCTCCTTAAATTGCCCAGGCTGGCTTTAAATTCACTCTGTAGCCCAGGCTGGCTTTGAAAGGTTGATGGTACAGCAACCAAGAGACTGAGGCAGTAGGATCAGGAGTTCAAGGACAGCTTGAGTCATGCCCACCCTTATAAACTAAGTATAAAATATTCTCATGTATCGTCAGTCAACAATGCCATGTACCACACTCAGGATGATTACTAACCCATGCCACAGATGAGAAAGTTGAGGCCAGATGCAATTAAAATTCCTTCTTTAACATGACACAATACACGATCACAGCACAAGGGCCAAAATTTATCTTATGGCTCTGACAGGGGAGTATTTGCTCCTGTGTCATGCTGGGACACAGTCTCTGGGCATATCTATTGGTGCGTGACCTATGTTCTGACAGTGAAATTAATGTGCTGTAATCATTCACTGCCTGATGCTACCATGAAATAGAAATCTGAATGCTGCCCCCACAGTGACTCACTGTCTCTCTCCAATAACGTCCACACGATCCCTCTGTTAGGCAAAGACAACTTCATGTTACCAAATGAGATGTCTTGAAACATGACGCTAGCTAGAATTCAAAGTTAAGCTGAAAGAGAATTTTTCACTTTCTAGACCCTTTCCTGGTGTTTTGTACTGTAAGAAAAAATTCCATGGAAATCTAAGATACCTAGGATATGTTTACCCCCTAAGATGAATCCACAGAGCTAATATTTAAGGATCGTTTTGTAAGTGCTAGACACTGTCCCTGGCATTGCACTTGAGTTAATTTAATTCTCCCAACAAATTTACAAAGCCAACATTTTTATCAGCCCCTTTCACAGGTGGAAAAACAGAGAGAAGTCATTTGTAAATAGCAGAGCTGATGTCTGGTATCTAATTTGATGCCTCCGTGCGTGCCCCTCTCTCTGACACAAAGGTGATGTCATTAACTGACTGGTCCCCACCAGGGCTAATAAAAGGAAAAGCTTTTTAAGAACTTCCTGTTGTCTGAGACCCAGGAAGGAAAGGCACTGGGGAGAGGGGGAGGGGACGCAGATGGGCCTGGGTCTGAGGCAGGAGCTGATCAATACTAACCAGGCATCAGAATCTTCAATTAGCCTTAGAAAAATAATGCAGTCAATAAGTCAAATGAATTGGGGAAGATACCATAATTAATAAAGCTTTAAAGAAAATGGAAAGAAAGGACAGAGAAGAAAGAGAATAGGGCCGTGGAAAACATGAAGAAAAGAAAATCAAAACTAGTCCAGAAGTTTCTACCAATATATTCCTAAGCACTAACATGGAATCACAGAATACCCAACCCCAAGAAGTTGCTAATGCAGCCTTGTCTACAGGAGGGCTCTACCATAACCTTCTAAAAAGCTAGTATGTGTGAGGAACTTCTGAGTGGCATGAGGTGTCATTTCAGCACTGGGGAGGCTGAGACAGAGCCCCTACTTGATTGAGGCTAGCCTGGGTTACAGAGGGAGACCCTGTTTAAAGACAACAACAAAATCTCCAGGGTAAATATTAAGCTGGCTAATGTTAAGCATGCTACAATTTTTTTTTCTGGATGACAGAGGCAGGAAAAAGACAAAATTTTACAGCTCTAGGATGTCAGAATTCAGCCACTTGGACTCTGGGTTCCCCAGGTTCAGAGCCGTAGCTGGTAATGTCAAACTTCTGTGGCTACTGCTCCTGACATCCTGGCTGAAGACTGGTCCCCCAAGGTCTGTTGTTTGTTTGGTTGTTTGTTTGGTTGTTTGTTTGTTTGGTTGGTTGGTTGGTTGGTTGGTTGGTTGGTTGGTTTTGTTTTTTCAGGAAATCTGCGATGGCCAGCCCTGATCTGGCTCCATGGGTGACCCAGAATCCCCTCTGCTCTTTTCGTTCTACAGCACTATGCACCGGAAACCCCTTACCGGGCACAGAGCAACCGGCACCTCTCTGAAATGAGGGCCGCAGGAACAGGGCTCTGCTGCACAGCCCCACACACCTCAGGCCCACAGGCTCCAGGTATCCCCAGCAGCCTTACTCTTGGCCCTCCCCTCCTTCCCACAGGGCTCCCTCTGTTCGCCCATGACATCACTGTACCCTCACCCCTGGGGTAACAAGTGCAGATATTTCTGGCGTCTCCTTCATTCCTCTTGCTAAATTGGTGTTTCAATCTGATCATTGTGTTTCTGAGTTATTCCTTCGCCCCGTCCCCCTCCCATCCATCGGCACAGAGGTTATTCAGCTCCTAGCACGGATCTCCCTGCCCCACTCCTCCCCCGCCCACCGGCAACCTCAGTTACCCACTGAACAGACGCCATAAGCAGATCATCTGTATAATAATCTTTGATGGGCTCCGTTGCAGCTCCTCTATTTGCCTGACAATAAGCTGGTCCTGCTTCTCTGTCTGGTTTATTGCTCTCCCAAATACATACATACACGCCCATGCACCTGCTCCCTCCGCTCGGATTGTCTACCCTGTATCTGCCTCTCAGCTCCGAGCTCCTTTGCCAATCCCTTTACCTCTGAGATAAAAGCTCCCATTCTGAGCGCTTTCAGAATGATTCCAATTAGAGGAGCCCCTCTATCCCAGTCCCACCACCTTGCTGCATGATTCTGACAGCCTGAACCACAGTCTAGTTCATTCATTTCGTGTGAGGTTTCCAATCCTCCCAAATTGATACCCACTCCAGGAAGAAAGCCTCTCCAGCTGACTCTCTTTGTGCCCAACTCTCATTGCTTCATACAGTGTAGGTGTTTAATTCAATGGCTAACTGTCACTTATGAGTTCTATTACATTTTACTTTATTCGTTTATTGGGGGCTGTGCTACGCACGTACCACAGCACATATGTAGAGGTCAGAGGGCAACTTGCAGAAGTTAGTTCTTTCCTCCCTCCATGTAGGTCCCAGAAATGAAACTCGGGACATCTTGGTGACAAGTGCCATCTTGCTAGCCCTTACATTTGAATTCTTGAAAAAAGGAAAAGAAAAGAAAAATCACCAAGCCTTTCTTATGGCAGAAATGTGTTGAGACTTCTGCAGTTTCCTGGTCAGGACTGAAGTCAGCAGAATGCTGATAGCTTCAGGGGACAGTAGTGTAGGCTTTTATAAACTATCCCAACAGCCCGATCTGTAGGGGTAGAGTTGACCA